TAGTGGGAGGGGTCCCTGCACATGGCAGGTGATCTTGAAGGTCCCTTCCAACCCATTCCATGATTCTGTGATTTGCTTCTGGAACGTGACAAAGTGTTACAGACGGCTTCCTGCCGTCTTGAGAGACTGTTCCCGCAGACACTGCTGTGGGATGACTGCAGCCTGAAGGTTGGTTTAGCCAGGAGGCAGCTTACGCTAGCTTTAGTCACAGTTCACCATGTAAAAAATTCAGTTGAATTGTACCAAAGCTTTTGACATTAAATAACATAACATTAAACCCATCTGGTGTTATAAGCCAGCAGAGTCTTGCAGCAAAACAGGGATTGCAGGGTCTGGGTGAGCCTGGCTCCCTGGGCCAGGCTTTTATTAGGAGAAGGAGAAGCCTGGGAGTTTCTGCAAATAACCTGAGTGGTTTTTGTAACAGGTGGCTTGAAGTGATGCACAAGCAAGTTTTCAACAACCTAGTGAGAAGAATATCACATTGTCAGTAGCTCTCTCTTGTCATTGATGAGCCAGTTGCCGTGTAGCAATTTGAACCGTGAATGCAGGCAGATACTGCTAATTTCTTTAAAGACCAACGTTAGGATTTTAGGATTTTTTTTCCAACCTGCTTATTGGAAAGACTGTGCTGATGATCATAAATTACATTATTTTATATTCTTACCCACTACTTCTCTACCAGTTGACCCCAAAAGACATTTCAAGCCCTTTGCTTAGGACTGGTGAAGGACTGTTGCTGTACCAATATCTGAGTCGTTCTGCTTGCTGTTTTGGCATGTTGGCATGTTTGCTGTCTTCCAGCCCTTTGACATTTTTCTGGTACTGGAACCATTATGAAAAATACTGCAAATGAGATAGAGACCTCCTCCTTTTCTTTCAGCACGCTCGTGTGCGAGTTAATGAGACTAATTGAAGTCGCTTATCCTTGTCAGATGTTAATTTGACATCCTCTGTAGTTACTAAGGAGCAGTGGATTGGTGAGCATGGTGCAGAGGTACCTCAAGTCAGCTCAGGTCCAGCAGAGTTTCTTAGTGCCGGTTTTACAATGCTACCCCTGACCTGCTGCTGTTATTGTACTCCCTAGTAGCTGTTGCACCCGAGTTTTCCGTGAAGCAGAGCAACCCAGCTCTCTGTTGTTAAAAGCTTGTCCTGTCTCCGTGGCAAGCAAAAAGCAACAACTAATAATCCAACACAAATTGAAAAAAAAGAAGGAGAAATTGCTTCTGAGCTCGTAGCTGTTGTGCAAACACAAATCATAAACATCAAGGTTATGGTTCGGAACTCATCTTTGCAGTTAAATCTTGCCTTGTCCTGCCAGGAGACCAGACACTGTTGGACAGCTGAATAATCAAGCTGCTTCCTGCATGGATGTCCTGCATATGTAACTTTGTTTTGTTCTTCTAGCAACAGTCTGCTTTATACTTGTGTTGTGGAGTAACTCCTGCTTCTTTTCTGCTTTTTGTCATTAACTTATCAGTTTACTTTTTCAGTTTCTAGTCTTTCCACTTCCTTTGTTGCTGACAAAGGAGTCTCTGTTGTCTTGGATGCTGTGCAGTGCTAAATTGCGGTTCCAGACCACGTGCTCCAGTGGGGCCACCGCTCTATCTACACTTCTCTGCACTAGCTGGAAGGAAAGCATGGCGTATCTGAGACAGGTGAAAGTGTTTGTTCTGCTGTCATCCATAACAACTTTCTGACGTTAACACATCCCCAGACCACAGCATACTCCATCTCTGGCCTGTCACCTAAATACCCCCTGTGCTCTTTTTACTCAGTTGAGGTCTAGATCTGTTCAAAGACTGACAAAACCTACAGGTTTCCCTTAACGTTTGGGATATTGTTGTTTCATGCAGACATCAGCACTTGGTTTTAAAGTCTAACTGTTTTCCTCCTTTTGTTACTATCGATCACAAATGCCCTGTGCAGAGAGAAGTGTCTCCTCAGATGTGTCGTTGGTTTAGTCTCCCCAATTTTCTGCCCACCTTGGAGCATATCTCCAGGACTGGGGACTGGGGCTCACTCACAATATTTTTGTATCACGTATTTTTTTGTTTTCCGGTTTTGATTTCTATAGATGAACATCTGCAACAAACCTCCTAATAAGACAGCTCCAGAGAACCTGGGCGAAGCTGCTCCTGAGGTGCAGGTCCAATGCTCTCGGAGGAACGGCTGGAGCTGGCCTCTGCACTATTTCCAGCTTATTGCCTGGTTGCTGTATCTCTTCTTTGCGCTGGTTGGCTTTGGAATCCTGGTTCCTCTCCTGCCCCGCCACTGGCTGATCGCTGGCTATATCGTATCCTTTGGTCAAGAGAGAATGTGGAATGTAATAAACCAGCAGTGGGATTTTTCAAAAACAGTTGATAGGTAGCATAGAAAACATAAGAGAAAGCAGCTGAGCTAGAATCTTCTTCTGAACTGTACCCATAATCTTGGTTTATTACAAGTCTATCAAAAACACCTGTTTTGAGATCCTCTCTGCCCCTCCGCATTAGGTAGGTCACTAACGTTCTACTTGTCTCCTTCATCGCCCTGTTAAGGTTATTATCTTTGCCTCTGAGGCTCTTCTGCTGTCTACTTCTGCCTGTGTGTCTCCTTTGCTTTATATTGTTCTTCCCGAAGTGTGCTGCAGGGTTTGAGGGAAGTTGTACTCAAAAAGCCCCTCCTGAAACATCCTTGCTGCGCTGGGCAGCTGCGCTTCCCTGTGCTGACTGAATGAGACTCGAAAGGCAGCTTTATATGGTTACGATTATACGGTGGGTTGCTTGCGATAGCTGGCAGTTGGTCTTCTCCCAGGGTGCTCTCCTGTCCTCTGTAGGAAATCTGTGAGGGAAAGACGAGGTAGCGTAGTGTGCACCCTGGAGGAGAGGTCTGTGGCGGGACAGTCTTGAGCAGCAGTTTAATACGCGTCTAACTGCCCTCTGAAGGTGGGCAGCATCAGAAGGTGAGGTGCTCCTACTGAAACAGCATCTTGTCTTGGGTGCTGCCAGCAGAGCCTGGCTCAGCCCAGCCCAGGGTGTTCTCCACCCCCTGTCCTCAGCCCTGTGCTCTCTTGCAGCTGGGAAGGACGGGGACTAGAGGTGGGTCTTGTAAAGGGGCGTATGCATGGCCCTGTTCCTTTCCAAGGCATCAGTATGGACTGAGAATCGTGGACTTCTGTCAAACAGGCTGCGTGTGGGGTCGGATTCTGGCAAGTCAAGGTAATTTTTAAAAACTGCTGTGCTAGGAAGGACGTTTCTGTGAGGCAGAGTAGTGCATAATAACCAGGGTTGTTCCTGTAGGTGTAGTTTCCTTTTTCCAGAGGATACTTCTTACAGTGCAAACATCTCCGTTAATAAAACTCAGATTAATGTGCTGCAATCAGGTATACAGTGATTTCTAATTCTAAGCCATATATTGCTCATCTCTGTGGGCTTTGTGTATTAAGGATAAAAATATATGCATTAAATCACTCATACAATCCTTAACTGTGTACTGCAGTGTCCAGGAGTGTGTTTTATCTACCATTTAGTTGTTCATCTTACTGCAGTCTCCATTGATCCCGCGGATGCAAACATACAAGAAAAAAACTATCTAGGGCCTCTGGGCACCTTCAACCGTACTCAGCATGCACATGTCATTGAAAACCATCATTGCCATGTCTGTGATGTGGATGTGTAAGTATCTCCTCTTTTCCTTCTACTAATCTGTCTTTTTCACCATGACACTTCGTTGTCAGTCTTTAATGTCGGACTATAAGATGGAAATTGAGCCCCTGCAGCTCTATAGCACGAGTTTAACTTCATCCTGTGTCAGGGTTCGGTTCACTGGGTAGATGCCCCTGTCACATGTGCGCTTGGTTCTGTGTTTTATTTAATTGCTCACATGTGGTGTGGAGAGGGCTGTACTGTTCCGTGTTAGCTGGATGCTGGTGTCTGACCTGACAACGTGTGCGTGTGTGCTTGTATCTGGCTAGGTGGTGGTGGGTAGGAGGGAACGCTCGGAGGGCAGACGTTAAGATCAAGCTTTGCAGAACTGCTAAAGGGTTTCGAATAAGAAATCACCAATCTCCAAATGAGAAGTCATGCAGTGCATTGAGAGGGCAGATTTGGCAGTGTTTGGGATTGTGGTCCAACACTGGCTGATATGTTTGGGTGGTGCAGAATTCTTGACGTAGAAGGTTTTCTCACTGTTGCCAGGATCTTTACTGCTGTATCCCCCTCTGTGTCACTGGAAAGTCATGGCAACGAGCTGGTGCTGCCAGGCTAACGCCACCCTTTCTTTGGCAGGAGTGCCAAGACAAAGCACTGTGGAACTTGCAACAAGTGTGTGTGTGGCTTTGATCACCACTGCAAATGGCTCAACAACTGTGTGGGAGAGAGGAATTACTGGTAAGAGCCTGGCATTGTGACGGGAGCACAACACTGCATCAATAATGTCACCCCTTCTCTTCCCAAGATTCTCCTGCATCTCAGTCCGGTCTGTACTCGGCCACACAGAACCACTCTTCTTTCAGACCCCACCTGAATAAAATCCGTCATGAGAAAACTAGATGGAAAACGCAAGCATGATTTGAATAACTAGGGATAAAACTCCCACACTTAGAATTGTGTAGCTGAACATCGAGTGAAAACAGAGAACATAATCTTCTTGTTTGGTATTAGGGAAAGCTTATGGGCTGTTAATTGGGTGTCCTTAATGCTTCTGGGAGCTGGAGCGGGATTAGAACCGTGGTCGTGCTGTTCCCATCTCTGAAACAACCTGCGTACAGATTGCACGCATTCCCTACGAGGCTTGCCAATTGGCAGGAGTTACAGCAGCATATAGGCACCTCTAGTCTGTGCCAGGTTTAAGGTAAAGAATAAAGAGGCTGCCACTGGTTGTGGCTTCTCAGTCTGCTTTCCTGCACTAAAACCATGTGGAAAGTGAAGAGTAGTTACTCCTGGGTGCCACGTTACATGGCCTTCAGATTTCGTGCAGGGAGCTCTTTGTCCTAGATATACGTGACTGTTTTGTAACCATGGTTGCCACTCAGACTTCTCACCTTCTTGGCAGGTTCTTTTTGAATAGCGTGCTGTCTGCCATTCTGGGTCTTGGGCTTCTGCTGCTCATCGCTTGCTACGTCTTTGTGGAGTTCTTCGCTGACCCCATGAACCTTCGCTCCGACCAGCACTTTGATGGTACTAGCAGTGCTTCAGTTGAGCATCCTGTGAATCAGCGCACATCTCAACATGGGGTTGGGTTCGGTGGGCTCTCCCGCTGAGGAGGAACTCCCATTCCTCACTCCTTCAGTTGTGTATTTCTTCAAGAGTATATCTGCTCAGCTGGATGGAATATCTTTCCTTCCAGAGCCAACTAACTGCTTTTCCTAAAAGGCCTTGCAGGCACAAGATTTCTCAGGCCTCCAGTGCATAACGGGTCTGCAGCTACTTTTGAGTTAACAATATTTCCAGCTGTAAAATTTAGTTAGAGATATTTAATACCTGGACAATCTACTTGTCTCCATCTCTTTTTGTTTTGCAGCTCTCAAGAACCACACAGACCTCTGGTTTGTGTTTCTTCCTGCAGCTCCTGTTGAGACTCGGGCATCTGCCATTTTGGTCATGGCTGGGATTTTTGTTCTTCTGAGCCTAATGACCGTGATCCTGCTGGGCCACCTCTTCATCTTTCACATCTATCTTAGTAGGTATTATATTCCCATCATCTGCATCCCCATTTAGTTTTCTCTTAGCTTCCTCTACTCATTCTGCGTTCGCTGTGTGTTCGCCCGTGTCACAGATATACACAGGTTGTGCAAGATTGCTGTTGAAAGGGTAGAAAATTTGGGTTTAATGTTATACTTCTGGCTTCCCCCCAGTGCCAGGTAGGCTCATCAGTGCACGCGCAGTATGGGGCTTGCGTTGGGCCTGTGCATTCATGTGTCTGAGCTCTGTTATCCGGGAATGGGAAGCACGTGGGAGAGCAGTCGAGAGGCCAGGTGTGACGAGCTGGTTAGTTCCAGCTCAGTGCCAGCGACGGCAGATGCAGATGGGCTCCACATAGGGGCTTTTGTGGGTCTCTTCATTGCGCTCCCCATTGCTTCTGTGGTGTGAGACAGCCTGTTTCTCCCTTGCCCCAGAGAAATCTGGATGGTATTGATTGAAATTTCTAATAGCAGGCCTGACATCCCAGTCAAGGTCCCTTATGGCAGTTGTAGTGTATTGGCACAAAAGACTTGAGGCATTCAGAGGACGAGGTTTTCATTGCTCATTAGGTCTCCGGTGTGTTGCTCTGTCAGGATGGGATATGCATGTTTGTTTATGTACAGGTGGGCATCAAACCCCTTTTTTATCCATCGTATGAAGTGAAGCCAGTGCTGTTTGGCTGCCTGATGTGATTCGCGAGGAGACAAGATCTGACACTTGAAGCAGCCGGTGGTGCCAAAGCTGGGGAAGGAGGGATGTGGTGGGAGAGAAATGAGGATGGCGGTTACAGAGAACCCTTGAATGGATTTCTAGGTTGTCAGTTCAGAGCGATGCAGATGCCAACACAAACTAGGTCAGCACAAACCGGTGCAGTTCCAGGAGCAAAACAGTTACACTGCCGAAGTGTAGGGTGTGGTGGGTGAGTGTTGCTCAGCTGGCCTTAACATTACAGGCAGCGAGGCCATTGACTGTCGTCTTCCTTTCACAGCCTCTTCAAGCTTAACTGAAATTTGGTCATGCTGCGATTTTACTTTCTTGGTGGAATTGAGAGTTGACTTTTCCGGGTTAATGGCGATGCCTGGAGGTACCAAAGGTCGATCTAGCACTGCAGAAAGACTGAAAAGATAGCAAAGCTGGGGCCCCTCCAGCAGGACTTCCTTTGGATGGGAAAAGGGGGATCATTCAGTTTAGTGCTGAGCAGTATTTATCCTGTCTGTGTGTACAGCTGCCACGAGAGGGTGCTCCCTGCTTGGGATAGAGACATGCTTTCTCCTGTCCAACAGAAACGTGGGTGTGTTGGCACCAGTTCTGCTCTGGCTTTGGGGGATTTTTTTGTTCCTGCTGTCTTGGGGTGATTGGTTTTTTTTCCTCTTTCAGAATAAATTTTGAGCCAAATTAACTTTTACTTCTGACCTAATTTTAAATCTTTATGATGTGCATGGAAACAGAATTTAATTATTGTTGATTTTTGTTAACATTTTATTACATTAAAACCTGCTACCCTATTGAAACTGGTTCCAGCTGTGCAGAGGTGTGGTGTGTGAGTCCATGCTTCAAAGCGGTGATGTTACCATTCGAAAGGCTGTGTTGTGGGTTACATATGGCTGTGCATTACCCTTACAGCTGCGATTCGGGGAGATAGACGAAGTATATCTGGTTTAAATTCCTCTTCTTCCACACCTGTAATTGTCAGTAATCTCATCTGAATGCTTTAAGGTAGACAGTGTTGGAATTAACTACCTAACCCCTTTTGGGACTAGAAATCTAGCTTACCAATTAAAACATAAATACTGTTGGTGAGTATTTCTTCGTGAACCTTTTTTTTCCATTATTAAATTACAGAAATAAAATAGCACCCCTGTGAGTGGTATTGCCTTTAAGTTTTACATTTTAAAAACTGTCTCAAATCAGGTATGACTGTAAAATTTTAGAATCTAGCTTTGTTATGAGCACAGTAAAATTTTCGTAATTACTGTCCTGATTTTAATTACTCAAAGGGAAGTAAGTAGATTATTCTTAAAACAGTAAGACCACGTGTTCAAAATTACCTGTCTTGATTCAGCCTCAGTTCTAGAGGCATTCAGCAAAGCATGGCACTTCAGAAGCTTGGAGGGAGGATTTTTTTTATCCTTCAGTACTGCAAGGCCAATAGTAAGCCTAATAAAAAAATAGAAAGTAGTAGGAAATAGAGGAAGGGAATACAGGAAAGGATATGGGGTTCTTCACAAGCTGTGACTGTATGTTGCACACTATGTGCTGCAGTGTTATCTGGTCAGACAAAGGTAGTATTTTTTAACTAAATAGCTCCATTAAAATATTTTAAAAGTTACACTGTTAAGTATTCAGAAACCATCAAACTCTAAACTAAAAAAGGCTTGTAGCCCTTTGCTTATGAAGCAATATTCTGTTTCTCAAGTAAAGCATATGGTACCATTTTAGGAGTGTTTGCCAGCACCGTCCCCGGTAAGTGCATTCACTAATCGCTTGGTTGAAGACTCGCGTTAATTTTTATGTTCCGTCTTCCTGGCCAAATGGATCTCGAATTCTTATTTCTTCATAAGGTCGTTGCTTTAACAGGGAGGGCACCTTTTCCTCTGCTCTCCCCGACTTCCTCGGGAAGCAGTCCTGTGTTTTGGGCATGGTTTTGAGAGGTAAGGTGTTACTGATGGGAATGTCTTCAGGCAGAGGAAGGACTTTAGTCTGGATGTCTCATGTCCTGGGTATCTGCTTGAAGTACTCTGCTACTGTAAAAAGGAGGAATGACTCCCAGGCTGCGCACTAAAAATCTTCAGCATCCACTCCTGGCTTTTGTGCTCCAAAAATACTCACGATAACAGGATCATTAGAGGAGGAATGTCTGAGTTTTGGATCCTAGTATGTTTTGGGTCTCATGAAGAAAGCAAGCTGCTCAGAAATGTCACGTGCTTTTGGTCATTCGTGGAAGCAGATGTGTTTGTGTGGGGAGCCTTAAGAGCACGTGAACTCAGGCACATGTAAACTCTGAGCACATTTCTTTGGCAAGCTGTGCATTTGGTGGTCACTGTTTTGGATGTTAAGTGTCTCAGACTCCTCTGCGGGACATGCTTTGAATTTCTTTTCTCCATTTAGCACCACGTACCTTCTGACTACTTGCTGAGCGTTCTGTAGGGTACAGATCTTACCTTTACTGGGTGTGAATAATGGATCTGCTCTGAAATGAGCTGAAAATTGCTACCATGTAGAAGGCTGTACCATGCGTGTGAGGCTTTAGAAGAATAGTGTGACTATGAGAAAGCAGTGTGACAGTGACAATAAAGGATATAGTAAGATGTACAGTGCACAGGTTCTTTTGGCTCGCATATCAGTCTTTTCATGTTTATAGTTACTATTTGGTTGTACAGTTATTCAGACCCTTTGTGTAAGTGTAATCAGGGAGTGGCTGTTCCTATGCTGACAGCTCTCTTTCTTTCCTCCCAGTGTGGAACAAATTGACTACATACGAGTACATCCTGCAGCAGCGTCCCCAGCAAGAGGCGGAAGAGGCAGACAAGCAGCTGGAGTCTTGTCCCTCCCAGGTGAGACCCTGGCAGCTATCTGCTGTACTTTCAGTCCATTTCTCAAAAGCAGCCTCGCTTGTCCACAGTGGAGTTTGTTTCACTTTTGCGAGCTCCAAATTTTAGTAGGCGGTTGCTAAAGATAAGACTTTAGAGGCACTTTGGTGGAGTTGAGTAGGATGTGAGAGAGTGTAAGCCCTGTAATTCTGTTAACACTTTAGGCACAGGCAAGTACTGATTTCAGAGGAATCAATCCCACCCACTCTCTTCCTCCACCACTTGTTTTGGGCCCTTCACTCTCTGTTCTCTTCTGCCAGCACAGCTGTTCGTTGCAGTCATGGAGTAAGCAGGGTGGGGGAACTCATCTGGGTAAGAATAAACTTTATTTAAAAAGCAGTTGGGCTCGTGTTTAGCTGGCCCAGCGCCCTCCTGTTTGGTTCACCGAGCAGTCATGTCAAGGCCTGTGTCAGCACGCATGGGGATGATGGAGAGTGGGAAGGGGCCTGTCATTGGGAAGGACAGGACCGTCTGTTTCGGCCGCAGTGCACATCTTGCTGGCTTACGTGAGCGGTGTCGCAGGTCACGACTGACAGCGAGATGGGCTCTAAGGCTGGGGCTAGTTTTCGAGCAGCTAATAACACCAAATAGTTCAACCGTCTTGAAAAGGAAAAGAACACCAATCGTGTTCAGAAATGACCCAGATATCTCCTTTTCTTTGAATTGAGTCTACGTAGTGGTAAGGGTCCTTGTGCTTACCTTGATCAACCAATTTTATATTTCATAATTAAATCCAAGCTTCATCAATGTATTCTGTGGAGAGATACTGGGATCTCTCTGGACTCGTTCATAGTTTTTCCCTATCAAAGCAAAGGGGTAAGTGAGCTAATTCCCTTTCGTATAATATGGAGACCCCAGCTTCTCATATACATTTTTTTCACTGCCTTGGAGAAGTTGAACTTTCAGTTTAAACAGAGGTTTCCATAACAACAAAAATATTTGGCACTTTGTCTCATAGAGCTTTACTTACCATGAAAATTAAAACAATAATAAAGCGTTAGCTCTAATAATTTCCTAGTTACTGAGTTTTGGTTGATACTGAAAATACATCTGAACAGGGGCGGACTCTCTGCGTGTGCACATTTGGGAGGCAGCCATTCAGTGATGTTCTCCTGCCTGTCTTGTCTAGAAATGTGTGAATATGATGAATTTGAAGCAGCAAGCCTGGAAGAAGCAGGGTGAAAAGGAGTTCTGTGTTTCAGGACTGCAGTTAGTACCTTGGGAAACAAGAAAGACTGGATGATGCCCAGTAACATTGTTAAAAAAAATGTTCACCCACCAGATTTTCCTTGTTTCTTGCATAGCAACCAGAGATAAACACAAACAAACAGATTGGAGTAGGAGTATAGCAAGTGACTGGCCTTTTTTACGCTGTGTTGACTACAGCCTTCTTTAGCTCGAACACAGAAATCCTTTGTAATTGATCCAAGCTGTTGCGAGCATAAAATGGAAATCACCCTCTTCGCACTTTTGTCTTGACTGTTCATTCATTTTAGGGAGTAAGAAGAAACTGCATTTCCCCTTTAATCCTTGTTTTTGAGCCTTATTCAAGCGCGGGTGTTGGTTTTGGCTTCAATTTTCCATGTTTGTCCGTGGTTAAGTCTTTGGCTGTGTCCAGGTGTCTTGGTGTCAGGACCACCAC